AATTAAAAAAATTATTTTCATGTTAAACATGAGAATAAAAGGTAAAATTTGCATGGATTTGAAAGATAAAATGTGAGACTTCAAAGAAATTGTATGCTTTAGGCTGATGAATTTGGGCCTCCAGCGGGACTGACTCAGTCTCTTCTGCTGGGAGAGTACTTTGGTAGAAAAGTTTAAGCAGTAGCTCTGGGCTGTTTTGCATCTTGTACTCACAGAAGTCTCAGGAATATTAGAAGAAATTCCATAAGAAGCAGAGGCTTCCTGAACAGGAGGTCCTGCTCTCTTCTTGCAGATTCCTCCCCTTCCAAATCACTTTGGTGTTTGTTACCCAAGGAAGGGGAATGGGAAGATTTGCTGAGTATTCTTTCAACAAATATTTATTAAGTGATTGCTATATGCCTGGTGCTATTCTAAGGTATACAAAAAAAAAAAATCAAAAAACATTCTGCCTACATAGAATGTAGAGTATCCGTTGCTATCATAGCCTCAATAAGGGAACTAAAATGGGGAATAGCAGGGGAATGGTTTTGGGGTTTTGGAGAAAGACCAGGCAATTATGGACAGTTGAGTAGCATGTGAGACATCCAAATAGAAAAGCTGTTGAATGAGAGTCTAGAGCCATGGTTTTCAGTGGGAGCTTTTAGACATTTGTGGTAGAGGTGAGTAATCATAATGGCATTTATTGAGGGGAAGCTAGCAATGCTAGATGTCCCGCAATGCATAGATAGCATTGAATGACTTTTCAATGTCCCACTGGACATTTAATGTAGGTGAAATTCCTGTATACAATTATCTCAGCCTAGCAACTAATTCCAATTTCATTAAACACAAAGTACATTCTAACACAATTTTAATATTCCACGGAGGCAAATGCCATGCAAAGTGAATGAAGATTATACCTGTTTTGTTTAGTTAGCCAACCTTTCAGAACATCATATCAGTAACAGCAATTCTGCCCTGCTATTTAGGGCCCTGATTGGCATCTGTAGCCATTGAATCTGGGTCAGCGCTTCTCAAATGTTAAGGTGCACGTGAATCACCTGGAGATCTTGTTTCTTTTTTTTTTTCTTTTTTAACAATGGAAGAGACTGTTTGGCTAATAATGGAAAGAATCCAGTAGAGAGGGAGAGGCTGATCATACCAGGGAGAGACAAACTAAGAAGTGTAGTTCCTCACAGGGCAGAAAAGGAGGGTGTCTAGGCACCAAGGAAGGGTGTGGCCTTTGTTGAGAAGAGCTGGTTTTTGGTAAAAGGAGGGAAGGAGGACAGAATGGCTGGAGATGCAGTAGATTTAGAAAGGATGGAAGGAAGTTGAGGAATGTCACATCCCTCATACCCACCCCTCACCCCCAGCACAATAGGCACCTTTTGTCTTGAGCTTCTTTCTATAGAAGTGGCCTACAGTTGGCCTCTGTAGCCATTGGGGTGGGAGTGGGAAATGAAGGAGAGGGGTGGGAAATGAAGAGTGGAGACCAGAGCAACCTCTCTACCTCCCAGGGCAAGTGCTTTGGAAAATAATATGCAAGTAAGATATTATTCTTATGACTACTGTTATATTATTATTGTTCCTCTAGGTCAGTGCTGACCAATAGGTCTTCCTGTGATGATTGAAATGTTTTACGTCAGTGCTGTCCAATATGGTAGCTATGGCTAGTGGCTGCCATATGGCCATGTGGCTGTGGAGCACTTAAAATGTGCATCATGTGGCTGAATTTTAAGTTTTATTGAATGTTGATTGATTTCAATTTAAATAGCCACATGTGGCTAGTGTCAGTAGTATGGATAGTGTAGCTCTAGGTGTTTATTGCCTCTATGTCATTTGGTTCTTCAAAGATGAGCACCTTCTACAGAAGGCAGTGTCATTTGGGACCAAGAATACTGGACTAAGAGTTAGACCAGAGTCCACCTTCAAGTGGAGCAGTGTAGCTGTTTGCTTGCTTCTGTATCCCTAAGGGATTAGCCCATAATAGGTTTTCAATAAATATTTTGTACAATAAATGAATGAAATAGAAGGTGCTCATTTTTAAACTTAGGTGTGATTTCAAAGCATACTGAGCTCCAGAGCATAACAACACCTATTACCTTCCCCTGTTTCTAATAGTGGAAATACTGGAAAGTACCCAAATACCCAACATGGGGGCTTGGTTTAATTAGATGATTCTTAAGATACAAGATTATGCAGAGGAGTATTTAGTTATACAAAAAGAGTTACAGTTAAGGGAAAAAACTAAAACAGAAGGGTATATAATAATCTTACTATGCAAAAGATATATATTTCTATGCATAGAAAAAGGTTAGTTGAATAATAGATACAAATATTAACAGTGAATATTAATACTGGGTGGGATTAGGAGGTGATATTTTTATTCTTTTTTCTAAAAGGTCTATTTGATTTTTAAAAAACGTATTAAATATATCCAGAAAAAGCAAAAATATAGACAAACTAGATTAGTGGTTGCCTGTGGCTGGGGGTAGGGATGGGGATTCTACCCACAGTAAGTGGGCAGGAGGGGGGTATCTATGAGATACTCTAAATGTTCTAAAACTGATTTATGCTGATACTGTACCACTCAGTAAAGTTACTAAAAATCATTGAATTGTATACTTGAAATGCATAATTTTATGGTATGTAAATACACATCAATTAAGTTGTTAAAATGTACTATATATGTGTATGTGTCCTTAAAGAATTAAAAAATGTGCAGATCTATCCCCATACCAAATTCCAGGCATAACCAGCAGCAATTGGTGTTTAATCCTTTCTGACCTTTTTCTATGCATATGCAGAATGCAACATACACAGTATAGATACATAATTTTCACGAACTTTCTTCTTCCTCTGGACATGTAACTGTGGGACACGAAAAATTAAACAGTAGCTGCTCTGGGAGGTGGGATTGGGGTAGATAGAGTGGAATTGAGGGAAGGAAGGGAGAAGAACACTTGAAGCTTTGACTTTCTTTTATATCATTTGCATGTTTTTGTCATGAGTGTTTGGAGTTAAAAACCCAGTGAAGATATTGAAATAAACTATTGAATCCTTAATGACATGTAGTTTTGTTATTTAAAAAAATTAAAAATTTACCATATGCTGGACACCATGCTTAGTAGTGCCTTAGGTGCATAACAACCCCATGAAGTATGTAATATCATTAGTTTCACTTAACAGATGAGTAAACTTAGACCTAGATTGATTTTCCAAGATCACACAGCTATGTGCAGAGAACCCACATGTTTACACTGCAGCATCTCTTCTCCCTCTGACAGACTTATGTTCATCCTGCAAAACCCAGCTTTAATGATCTCATCTCACATGCATGTGTAGTCTTTCCTAACCTACTCAGGCAGGGAGATGACCCTGTCCTCAAGGTGCTTAGAGTCCAGGGAGGAGACAGACAGCTAAACAATTGCAGTCTAGTACCACAAGAACACATGGTTTAAGAGGACTGTGCAAGCAGAGGGAGTTTAGACCATGTGTCTGAAGCAGCCAAGGATCTCCAGAGAATGTATTTTGAGCTGATTTATCAATCAGTACTCCTAGCGGTTTTTCAGGAGCATAGAGGTAGGCATGGGTGGTCAGAGGTAGGGAGAGAGTGTAGGAAGGGATTTGGGGTCTAGCTCCTAGTCTCTCAGGAGTGTTATAGACCTGGGCATACTCTGGAAACTACAGTTCTGTAGTTCAGTGTGCCTGAAGGTTTAAGTTGACCTGAAGGAGGGGCAAAGTGAAGGGTGTGTATCTTGAAGCTTCAGGCCAGATCACCAAAGCTTTTTCAGTTGAAATTGGGCATTTACACTTTATTCTATGAATGAAGCAGAGCTCTTAAAATATTTCATCCTGGTATGTTAGAAAGATGAGAACGGGCCCCAAGGAGGCTGTTGTGATAGGTCCCTGCTTCACACTCAAGCTCTCCAAGCCCCTCTGCCTTGGCACTGGGTGGTCAGGTCGTTTGTCAGGCTGGGAATTCACGTAGGGCAGGACCTTGTCTCATTTGCACACAGCACTGGCATCTTACACGCAGCAGGTACTGAGGAGGGGCTGAAGTGGCTGGCAGAATGCTGGGCACCAAGAAGGTGCCGGCCAGTGACTGTAAAATAAAAGGCGAACCTTTATTTCTTCTCCAGCACCGCCCCAGGTATAGTGCAGGTAGGTGTTCAGCCAAAGTCTGACCCAATCCTAAGGAGATCAGAGAGGTCCTGGGCCCAAACTCAAAACCAGGGAGGTTCATTAGGTGTGGGTGAAGAAGAGGTGATTGTGGCAACTTCTGTTTAGGGCTCGTTATGGGCCAGAATTCACACCTATTGTGTTATGTCATCTCCCCAAGAGTTCCTAAATCGGAATTTTGTTCCAGTTTTCCCGACGAGGAAACTGAGGCTCAGAGTGGTTCTGTAACTTGGCCAAGGTCACACAGCCGGCAAATGGGGTGGGGACAGAGGCTTGGGATCTTAACCTTTTAACAAGTCAAAGCCTACTGGCCTGCCCCTCCTCCACCGGGGAGCCATTGCAGCTCTTACTCCGTTTGCGTAGCCGCAGGGGATGGGGGTCATCCCACACTGGTGCGCGGGACCCGGAGACGCGGGCTCCTGGCAGCAGCCGGGTGTCGCTCCCAGGTTCGGAAGTTACGGAGTTTCCTTGCTTTTCGCTCGCCTCCCAGCACAGCTGGTGTCCGCTCCCCAGCAGTACGCCGCTAGCGCAATGGGGCTCAGGTGCTGCAGCGGGCGGGGGCCTGGCACTAAGAGGAAGGCGGGGACGGAGTTTACGTAAGCGTCCGCTCGCAGGTGCATGCGGCCGCCGCCAGCGAGTGCTCCCTGCGCGCTCCCAGGTGCGCAGTTGGCGCAGGCGGCGGCGCTGCACGGCGGTGGCGGGCGCTGGCCGGCGCTCTCAGGTGCGGCAAGGCGCGCGTGGAGGGGGCGCGAGGCGAGCGAAGGGGCGGGCTTTCCGTTCCCCAGCAGCAGCGGGGCCCGCCCCCCGGCCCGGCCAATGGGTGCGCTCGGCGGCGTCACGTGCTCTCCGCCGCCGCTGCTGCCGCCGCTGAAGCGGAGACCGGAGCCGCGAGCGCCACCAGGGCAGCAGCCGCCGCAGCCGCCGCCGCTGGGCTGAGGAGCCGGAGACGCAGGCGGACGAGGTGGCGGCGGCGGCGGAGCGGGAGCGGGGACCGGGCGCAGGCAGAGCGCGACGGCGCGGGTAGGCTGCTGCGGCAGGGCAGGCGCCTGCGCGGCGGGCCGTCCCGGGCGGGCGGCGGTTAAGGCGGCGGTTGAGGCGGTTGGCGGAGCCGGCCCGGGCCCCGCATTGTTTGTTGTGCGTCCTTAGCAGCAGCGGCGGCGGCCGAGGCGGAGAACAGGGAGCAATCCCGGCCCGGCGGCTCCGGCATTGTGGCCGCCGCCGCCGCGGTGCCCCGGCCTCTTCGGGCAAGGGCAGCCTTCCTCACCTTCGCGGGGTCGGGTCCTGGCCCACAGCAGGGGAGGGCGTGGGCAGCGTGGGGGCCGGGCGCCGGGAGGTGTGGGCAGGATGGAGGGCTGGGGCTCGGAGCAGGTGTTGGAGGACATTGCGGGCAGGAGCTGGGGAAGAGGCTTTGGGGGGCAGGTAGAGGTGTGGGCAGATTGGAGGAGAATGGGAGGCAGAAGGATCCGGCCTAATGGAGGTTGAGGGCCTTGGGGCAGGTTTGGTGGGCCCCTGGGGGGCCAGGGCGAGCGCGAGAGAGACGAGGACGTTCCGGCCGGTGGGGGGACAGTATGTCCGGGGTTTCAGGAGGGTGTGAAGGGGGCTGTGGGGAGGGCAGGGGCGAGTGGGGTGGGAATGGAGGGAGAAGATTGGGCGCTCTAGGCAGGAATGGAGGGAGCTGTGCAGGAATGGAGGGAGCTGTGCGTCCTGAGGGGCAGGAGTGGGGCAGATATTAGGAAGGCCACCTTGGAGGCACGTGAAGGGGAATGATTGAGGAGGGGGTGGGGTAGGGGGAGACGTGGGCAGGCTGGGTGAGCGTGAAAAGGGAGGGAGGGAGGGAAGAGGGTGTCTGGAGTGATGGTGAGGGAAATGGAGGGTGTTCAGGCAGGAGGTGTGGGTGAGGGCAGGCCCAGAGGCTCCAGGAGACCTGTGAGGGTTGTGAGGGAGTGTCTGGCCAGGTGTGTAGGGGAGACAGCAGGGAGGCAGGAGGGGTTGACTTGTGAAGAGAGAATGTCAGATATTTGGTGCTCTGGGGAGAGGAATCTGATGTGGAAGGGGAAAGTTAATTGGAGCAGAGACCCAATTTGGGGGCTTTGGGAGAGAAGTGGGGACGATGTGGTAGGGCAGTGGAGTTGGAAAGGAGAGGGTGTCTGGGCAGGAGTTGTGTGGGGCATTTAACGGGTAGCAGGGAGAGGTGAGTGAAATGGAGGGTATCCATTGCAGGGGAAGTATAGAGGAAGGTGGGAGCAACATGAGTGGGAACTTTTGGGTTGGGGGGCATTGGAGGGGACGGGTGTGTGTGGCAGAATGGAATGTGTGTGAGGTGGAGGGCAAAAGAGGGTGGAGGGGGAGGGAGGAGAGAAATGTTGGTGGCAGGTAAAGTGTGGAGACAAATGGTAGGAAATGTTTCTTTGGAAGGAAATGTGGAGAGAATTTGGGGAGGAGGGAGGTGGAGGGGGTATATTGGAAGGAAATCAGAGCGGGCAATGGAATAGGCTGGGAGGGAAGATGTACAGATCTGACAGTATTTGGAGGGAGGGAAGCACAGGTTTGCAGAACTGGATTTTGCGCTGTATGGAGAAGAGAATAGGGAGGGGACAGTGGTAAGGAAGGGGAGAAAACAGGATATTTTGAGGTAGAGGATGTAGAAGAATGCATAGTACCTATAGTGGGGTAAGGGAAGGGTAAAGTAGGGATGTGTGTGATTAGAAAAGAAATAGGTAATGTATTGGATTGGGGAGTGGTGGTGGTGGGGAAGTAGGATGCCTAGATTTAGGGCAGGAAATGACTATTTAGGTTGGAGAGAGTTAGGAAAACAGGTTGCTTAAGAGAGTATGGAAGGTCCAAGGTGCAGGGGTGTGGGGAGAGATTGGAACACTTTTGAGTTTTGAGAGATTAAAGGGGCCAAAATTTTTAGGTCACTGAAAGGAGGAGGATAGGGCAGGCAGAGTGCAGAAGTTGGAAAAAAAACTAAAGGGAGAGGATTAAATTCCAGACTTAACAGGAACTGAAGATTTTGGGAGTGGGGCAATGCGAGACTTGTATCCTGGAATGATATTAATGGAAAAGAGAGGACGTTAAACCCTGTATCTTATCTGAAAGTTCATACTTCGAGATTCAGAGAGATCATGAAGCCTGATTTTAGTTCCAGAACCCAGTAAATGGGGAGCGGGTAAGAGAGAGCTGAGTGTATGCTCCTAGAGTTGGAGGAGGTGTGTGGTTGGGTTTCAACCTAGCATATTGGTCTGATGAGTGGACAGATACAAGAGCCATGCAGGGTCGTGAGGAGTGCACCAAGAGTGAATGGAAATGGGATTGCAGCAGGTGCAGGGCAGATGTCTTTGTGAAACTGCAAGAGAGCAGGCCCAGCAGCCAGTAGCATTCAAGGGCTGTGTATAAGAGAGGGAGGAAGGGATACCTTGGTGCAGCGTATCAGATATCCTGGTGCTTTCTGGGTAATGGGGCAGTATTCAGGCACGGGTGATGTAATATCTGAGTCCCATGCTACAGACAGATAGAAGTAATGTACACTGAGCTCCTAAAAGTGGCAGAAATGGAGGTTTTTGACTCTTTCACTCTTTCAAAGTGTGAATAACTGTTAACTAGATTGTTGACTTTTTCTCCCAAATAGTTCAAGTAAAATTTAGTTGGAGACTTTTGGATTCTGTGGTATTTCGATTTGAGTTGGCAAGTGTAATGTTATCTTTATTGCAGAAAGACACTTTCAGGGTTAGGTGGACATATGGCTATCAGCTTGCTATACACATGGGAAGTAACTTTTAGGGGTTTGAGCATAGACATTTCAGTGCAGGTCTCATTCAGTGTTCTATGGCTTATATTAGATTCTTTGGGATTTAGAAGGATTAAGCAAACTGCTTTGAGACTGCTTCAGTAAACAGGGTTTCTTAGAATCTTGGAAAATGACTTACCTTTGACAGTTGAAAATTCAGTCTTGTCAGATTTTGCTAAAATATAAACTTCATCATGTTGCAGAAATAACTTCAATTATCACTCTGTGGGCTTCATGTAGTGTGTAGTGTGCTACCTAGTATGATTTCAAATAAAAGATTGCTTTTGGTAACTTAGGAGTTTTCTGGGTTGATTAGTTTTTTCTTTTGTCAGTGTAGGAAGTATCTTAATGCAGCTGTTGTATGTTCAAATAATAAGTTTGAGTGGAAATGGGAATCTTGCCTAAACATAATGAGGGCTGAGCAGAACACCAGTTTGAAGTAATCTGAATCTGTAATTATAAATATTTAAAAAATAAACTGGAAGCTAATGAATTTTAAAATCCAAATTTGAAGTGTGTCATGCAGGCAGCAAAATAATGCACTGAAGGTGTTGCTATAAGATTTTATTTTTGGAGGGAAAGGTTTTAAAAGTATAATATGTCTTTGATTGAAACTCTGGGAGTATTTTGAGATTTATATGTGGAATATAATTGTAGGGAGCATGTCTGACCCCCTTTGTTCCTTGTCAGAGAATTTGATCAGTAAGATATAAGATGAATAGAGTGACCTTTGAAAATTCTCTCCAATATGGCCATTGTTTCCTCCTCGTATTTTTTGAGTCCATTGTGTTAGTTCATTTTATTGATTTGGGTAAACAGTACTTTTCTTGCTCAGCACACTCAATTTTGGCATAGTGTTCTGATAATATGTATTGTTCTGTGAAGTTCTGTGGCTTGGAATAATTTGCAGGCACTTTACAATATTATCCTAAGTTTATGAACCAAGGAAAGCAGGTTATTTAGACTTTGTAGACTAAATAATTGGCTTCTGGTTTTATTTTCACTGGTGACTTGCGGGACAAGATACTTAATCCCTTTGTGCTTGTTTCTCCTCTAGAAACCTGACTCTTTATCTACTTCCCATGAGAATCGAGATGGTTTGTATAAAACAAGTTTAAGTTTTTCAGGAAGACTAGAACTATATAAATGTAGGGATAGATGTTTCTTCCTTTGATGGTTTTTAGACTGGTCAGATGTTAATTAGTACTTCATTGTTGGCTATTTGGTGATTAATTTGTTTGTGAGAAACTTGGGTAGAGGTGAAACTTATGTGAATATCAGAGATGTCTGCAAATTGAAGTTTGTTTATTCTTTGCTCTACTGTCTACTTACCTTCCCTGACTTATTCCTGCAGCTGAGTGTTAGTGCTGATTTGAATTCATCACCTGGAACAGAAGCTTGTGAGAAACATTCTGAGTTCTAGGTATAGTCCAAGATTGTTTCGAAGCATGAATTTCCATAGACAGAGTACTTATTTAGATCAGTGAATTCACTTCTTATATCAGGAATAATAAATAAGATACAGTTTCCTAAGTGTTTTGCAGAAAACTGATTAATTTAGAGTGACTGGAACAGAAAAATAGAGCTGTCCATTCTGCTAGTGACATGAAGCTTCCTTGTTCCAACTTATTGAATATTTTTTTTTTTTTTTTTTTTTGAGACAGAGTCTCACTTTGTTGCCCAGGCTAGAGTGAGTGCCGTGGCGTCAGCCTAGCTCACAGCAACCTCAATCTCCTGGGCTCCTGCCTCAGCCTCCCGAGTAGCTGGGACTACAGGCATGCGCCACCATGCCCGGCTAATTTTTTTATATATATATCAGTTGGCCAATTAATTTCTTTCTATTTATAGTAGAGACGGGGTCTCGCTCTTGCTCAGGCTGGTTTTGAACTCCTGACCTTGAGCAATCCGCCCGCCTCGGCCTCCCAAGAGCTAGGATTACAGGCGTGAGCCACAGCGCCCGGCCAAACTTATTGAATATTTTTTAAAGTTTTAGTTAAGAAGTAATTACCATTTGATATTTCTAAGTCCATTTGACAGATTATGCTCTAATTGAGCGAGAATGATTTTTAAGCACTTTTTTCATGTTGGGTTTGGTTTACTAGTTGTAAAGAGCCTCCACATGCTGGTTATGATTGACACTGCAAAAATGTAAATAGCAAGTTGCTTTCTTGGACATTAATTTGCCTTGAGCTTGGTAATACCCAGCTCTGATTGTTTTTCTGTGCTAGCTGAT